GGAAAGTTGAGGCCTGAGGGCTTAAGTGGCTGCCCAAGGCCATGCTGGACGTCACAGGCAGGGATGCTGGCCTGTTGGATTTTTTACAGTCTGAACCCTTAATCCCAAGCCACTCCTGTGAGGACATCTGGGCTTAACAGTTTGGGAGGAATAATTATTACTTATTAATTTAAAAAAATATATATTTCTGGGGTGCCTGGGTGGCTCAGTGGGTTGAGTGTCTGACTTCAGCTCAGGTCATGATCTCAGTTTACAAGTTCGAGCCCCAGATCAGGCTCTCTGCTGTCTGTGCAGAGCCCGCTTCAGATCCTGTCCCCTCTCTCTCTGTTCCTCCCCTGCGTGTGTGTGTGTGTGCAGGCACACATTCTCTCTCGAAAATAAACATTTAAAAATTTTTTTCAATGTTTTATTTAGTTTTGAGAGAGAGAGAGAGAGAGAGAGAGGGAGGGAGGGAGGGAGGGAGGAGGGGCAGAGAGAGTGGGAAACATAGAATCTGAAGCAGGCTCCAGGCTCCGAGCTGTCAGCAGAGCTCGACGCGGGGCTCGAACTCACGAACCATGAGATCATGACCTGAGCTGAAGTCGGTCGCTTAACCAACTGAGCCACCCAGGCGCCCCTTTTTAGTTTACTTCTAATATCTTACTTGTTTTATATGTTCCTAAAATATTAAGTAAACTTTTTTTTCTTATTTCTCCTTGTTTAGTTATTCCTACTGCATAATTTCCCTCCCTGATTAGTTTTGCCAGGGGTCTAACTTTGGGATCTATTACCATTAAGCTTTTAAGAATATTAACCAATCCAGGGGTGCCTGGATGGCTTAGTTGATTGAGTGTCCGCCTTCGACTCAGGTCATGATCTCATGGATCGTGAATCAACCCTCACATCAGGCTCAGGGCTGTCAACGCAGAACCCACTTCAGATCCTCTGTCCTCCTCTCTCTGCCTCTCCCCTGCTTATGCTCTCTCAAAAATAAATAAACATATAAAAAAAGAATATTAACCAATTCATTAATTTCTGACTTCAATGTCACTTATTCCTTCCACTGACTTTTCTTGGATTTTTGTTATTGTTCTTTTTCCTGAGTCTAGAGTAAAGCACTCAATTTGTTTAACTGTTTTTTTATTTAATAATGTTTTTTTTTTTTTCAACATTTATTTATTTTTGGGACAGTGAGAGACAGAGCATGAACGGGGGAGGGGCAGAGAGAGAGGGAGACACAGAATCGGAAACAGGCTCCAGACTCTGAGCCATCAGCCCAGAGCCCGACGCGGGGCTTGAACTCACGGACCGCGAGATCGTGACCTGGCTCAAGTCGGACGCTTAACCGACTGTGCCACCCAGGTGCCCCTAATAATGTTTTTAAAAATTGTATTTTTGGTGGCTCAGTCGGTTGAGCGTCCGACTTCAGCTCAGGTCACGATCTCGCGGTCCGCGAGTTCGAGCCCCGCGTCGGGCTCTGGGCTGATGGCTCAGAGCCTGGAGCCTGCTTCCGATTCTGTGTCTCCCTCTCTCTCTGCCCCTCCCCCGTTCATGCTGTGTCTCTCTCTGTCTCAAAAATAAATAAATGTTAAAAAAAAAAAATTAAAAAAAAAATTGTATTTTTAAGAGATCTCTACACCCAGTGTGGGGCTTGAACTTACAACGCCAAGATCAACAGTCATGCCCTTATTTACTAATTTTTGAAACCACACCTTAAAGCTACAAATTTACCTCTGAGTGCAGCTTTGGCCTCATCTCATCAATTTCACTTCATTTCATAATTATTTATTCCTAAGTAGCCTGTAATTATAGTGGCCATCTCCCCTTCAAACCAAGAGTTACTCAAGTCCCTTGGGGTCTGGTGCTTCTAGCACAATAATGTCTGGGGCCATATTCCATCCCTGGGCCCACATGCCATGACCTTCCTGGGAATGGGGCCCTCAGCCATTACCTTCAGAACAGCTGCCTTGCCTTCTCCGGTTGCCACAAAAATGACCGTTCGGGCTGCATTTAGCACAGGAAGCGTGAGGGTCACACGCTCTGGTGGTGGCTTTGGGGAGTCGCTGATAGGGGCCACGATCTTCTCCCGCTCCTGGGGGAGGGAGGCCCCGGGGTGGAATGTCACTTCAGTTTCTCGAGCACTCACATACACCAGGCATGATCTGTCCATCATTCCATCACCCCGCCCCCACCATTAATCTTGTGGTACTTGATGTAAATCCCCATTTTAAGATGGGTAAACCAAGGCTCCAGAGTTGGTTAAGGCTTGCTAGTTGGCAGAGGCTGACTCAAACCCTGCTGTGGGCACCTCCCGGTCCCCCCAAAGTGGTCCTCCCTCCGGAAGTTGTAGTCGGCAGAGGCCCATGTGGGTGTGCTCACCTGGAGGAGGGGGTGGTCTGGGAAGAGTGAGCAGGTGTGGCCGTCAGGACCCACTCCGAGAATCAGCAGGTCAAAAACCGGAATGGCGTCCCCTTGGAAGGCCTGGGGGGGAAAAGACAGTCCCGAGAGGTTGGGGGCGGGGTGGGGCTCAAAGGACACAAAGAGACAGTGGCTGTAACACAGGGAGCAACACGCAGCCTCACCTGCATGAAAGGGCCTCTGTGAGGCTCCACATTTCACCCGTGTGACTGGCCAAAAGCCTGGGGACACAACTGTCCCAGACCTGCTCCCAGAGTGTCAGAGGCTGGGCTACCTTCAGGGACCCAACGGTGGGGCTGTGGACTTCCGGGAAGGGGGAGCGGGGTGGTCCTGAAAAGCATCTGTCCAGGGTGGGGCCGTATTTGCAACCACCCCCGGGGCTGGGGGGGGGGGGGGCGCGGGGCGCTAGTTTTTGCTGGTGATAATCATACAGTGCCACCCACAGGCCTGCTCCGTCACCACCGCATGGACCAGGCCTCCCTGGGGCCACACCGTGGGACTCACCTGTCTCAGCTTCTTGGCATAGTCCTCGGCCGCCTCCTCCACAGGAAGCTGGGGGTTGATGGTGATCACCTGGCTGTCGGGAATGGGCAGCCTGGAGAGCAAGTGGGTCTGCAGCAGAGGGAGGGACAAAGTCACCAACAGCCACACATGGTTCCCAGAGGCACAAGGTTTGCACGCGTGACCACCTGGATTCTCCAGGGGAAGATGCCTCCAGGACAGAACCGTCATACACCCACCTCCTGGGTGAGTCGGGATCCCGGGGGCGTTTCTGCCAGGAGTCTTTCAAGGCCAGCATGATTGGGGGCCCCCTGGCCCCAGCCTGCATCTGTGTGGCCACATCACAGCCCTGTTTCCAAGTCCCCAGGGTCCCTTGGACCTCAGGATAAAACCCAGCCCCTCTCTGCCCTCTATGACACCCAGCTGACCTTGCCCCACCCCCCCCCTTGATAGCACGCACCCTGGCCTCTGCAAAATGAATTTCATTTTTGTGGAAGCGGCCACAGTCGGGCCTCCTGCCAGGGGGAGGGCTCCGGCCCTTTCCCTCGTCTCCCCAGGTGAACCTCAGGGCCTTTGATCTGCTCTGGGATGGACCCTGGCGACCCCACCTTGGTGCCTCCCCCCTCAGTGCCTCCCTTCACACAGGATCTAGCCCATGGACGCAGCGCCAAGCTGAGTCACAAAGGAAAAGCAAGAAGCAGCAAAAATATAGTATTAGAGGGGGAAAGTGACAGGGACATAGAGTAAACAGGCCGGGGGCGCCTGGGTGGCTCAGTCGGTGAAGCGTCCGACTTCGGCTCAGGTCATGATCTCACGGTTCGTGGGTTCGAGCCCTGCGCAGGGCCCTGTGCTGACAGCTTGGAGCCTGGAGCCTGCTTCGGATTCTGTGTCTCCCTCTCTCTGTCCCTCCTCCACTCGCACTTGTGTGTGTCTCTCTCTCAAAAATAAACAAACATTTAGAAAATTAAAAAAAATAATAATTTTAGAGAAAACAGGCCAGACACACAGTCCTGAAGATTAAGAGCGATATACTGAGGGTAATGGGGAGCCAATGTGTCAGCCAAGAAGGGACACGGTCAGATCTGTTCTCGGAAAGACCACTCTGCTTTGTCCAAGGTCCCCATCTATACACACGCTCGGGGATTATACTAAGCAAGCCAGTGGGGAATATCAGGGCCCTATTTCTGTCCCATGATCGTCTCCTTAGCTGCCCTTCCCCTACGGGCTCACAGCCATTCCCTCCCCCTCCTGCTGGGCTCCTTCCAGGGAGCTCAGGGGTGGAAGGCCAGGCAGACAGGTTCCCGGAAGCAGAACTGCTGGTTGACCAGACTGTTTCTCTCTCGACATTCTGCAGGCACCGAGGCACCATTCCCCTCGAAGGCAGCCCCTGCAAATCCTTCCAGCGGAGACAAAGCCCTGGCCTCAGCAGCAGAAGACCCACGGAGCACGCAGGGTGCGCAGAACATTCACACCGACAGAGCCCCGGGGTACGCGAGATCCGTCCTTGAGGACAGAAGCGCCTCTGCATCCCTATACTGGGTTGACCAGTGCCCCCCCCCCCCCCCAATTCATGCCCACCCAGAACCTCAGAATGTGACCTTATCTGGAAGCAGGTCTTTGCAGATGTGATTAGCTGACTTCATAGTAGATTGGTGTGGGCCCTACATCCAATGACTGGTGAGAGACTGGAGGCCAGGGAACACCCGGAGCCCCCAGAGGATGGAAGAAGCGAGGAAGGACCCTCCCCTTGAGCGTCCGGAGGGAGCGTGGCCTCGCCAACACCTGGATTTCAGGTTTCTCCGGGACAGAGAAAATAAAGCCTTGCTTTAAGCCACCCGATTTGTGGTCCTTTGTTAACAGCAGCCCCAGGGAACTCACGTGACTCCCCCAGAAGGAGTAAATCCTGGCCCCACGTTCGCTCCCGTGGCAAAGCGTAGGCCTTGGCCATAACCTCTGCCCCAGCTCTGCCCACGGCCAGGTCCTCATACCTCCAGGCCTCAGTTCAAACATCACCCCTCAAGGCTCCCCCAGCCCCCACCATCCTGGCCGAAAGGCCATCCCTGGGCTCTTTCTATCATCTCACACAATTATCTTTTGTCCACGCTGCACCACGCGAATACTCTGCGGGGCTTCCCCTCATTTCCTGCCCTGTCAGTGCCCGATTTCCCACTAGGAGCCCCATGAGAGGATGGCCCAGCGTCCCGTCGTGTCCCCAGCGTGGCGCCTGGGTGGCTCAGCTGGTTGAGCGTCCTGCTCTTGGTTTCGGCTCGGGTCCCGATCTCAAGGTTGGTGAGATCCAGCCCCGCTGGGGACTCTCCCTCTCCCCCTCTCTCTCTGCCCCTCCTCCCCCTTCTCAAAATAAATAAACAACAACAACAAAAAAAGTAAAGTTCTTCAAATTTATGCAGACTAAAATGAAGAAACATGAGCCCGCTTTTTAGTTAAACTCTTGAAAAAGACCCACAGGGAGGCCCCCGCCCCTGAGACGTGTCCCAAGTGCTATCCGGGGCGTCCCTTCAAAAATTTTTTTTTTTTTTCAACGTTTATTTATTTTTGGGACAGAGAGAGACAGAGCATGAACGGGGGAGGGGCAGAGAGAGAGGGAGACACAGAATCGGAAACAGGCTCCAGGCTCTGAGCCATCAGCCCAGAGCCCGACGCGGGGCTCGAACTCCGGGACCGCGAGATCGTGACCTGGCTGAAGTCGGACGCTTAACCGACTGCGCCACCCAGGCGCCCCCGGGGCGTCCCTTCAAACTCTGGCTTCCCTACTAGCCTGGCACATAAGCTCCCCTCCCCTTCTCGGTCCAGTTTCTCCACCTATGAAATGGAGGAACTAACAGCCCCCGCCTCATAGGTTATCGTGCAATTTCGTGAGCTGATGTGGCTAAAATGTTTGGTAATCAGTAAGCCTTCCTTCTTGTGACAAAACAACGACAACAGAAAATCATCAGCTCCAGCTTCTACCTAAAGAGGGGGAAACACACCCAGGACCTGAGGGACCAGAAGCTTCTGGCCACGCCCGCCCCTTCCACACCTCCCTGGGCGCGTTTTCCACGTCTAGGGCAGGAGGAGAGAGCTCAGATGCAGCTGGGGAACCCCAGGGCAGGCCACGACCCCCTCCAAGCCTCGGTTTCCCGGATTCTATAGGATCTGAGGCCACAAGCGAAGCATAACCACCCCTGGAGGTGATCAGCACCGAAAGCTCGAGGTAGCTCGAGGTACATCAAGAACACGTCCAGGCTGGAGATGAGAAAACCGAAGCCCAAGCTCCACACCAGATACCTCCTGCCTGGCCCTTCCCTACCTCTGTCCTTGCAAGTTGCCAGGCTGTGGCGCCTGAATTTCTCTAGGTCCCTGGCATGGGCCACTCACTCTGTTTCACCTCCACGCCTTTGCCCGGCCACAGGATAAAGCATTATAGGACCTCAAGGCCCCCACGGGCCCACTCGGGTGGCAGTGGAGGTGGGAGTTCAGGGCACGCAGCAGACCCCTCCCAGACCGTGGCAGAGGGGATAGTGTGACCCTCCGTGACCCCCACAGCTGGGTTCAGGAGGTGGGCGCGGCCTTCTTGAAATGACCCCCGGCGGCCCCCGTAGTCAGGTTCAGGCGGTGGGCGCGGTCCTCTCGGCGGCATGACCCCCGGCGGCCCCCGTAGTTCTCACCCGATAGAGACCGTACGTGCTCTCGGCGTGCTCGAAGGGCACGAGGCGCTCGTCGCAGAAGCCTACGGTCCAGCGCGCGAGGCTGGCGGGGCCGGCGGGGGCGGCGGCGGCGGGCAGCTCACGGGCCAGCATCGAGACGAGGCTGCCGCCCGACAGGCCGAGCGCGAAGCGGGCGCGGGCCCCCGCCAGGCAGCACGCCGCCCGCTGCGCCACCAGTTGCGCTAGCGACGCGCCCAGCTCCTGCGGACTCGAGAAGACCGAGATGAGGCCCGGGGCCGGCGCGGCCATGGCGACGGCGGCGGCGGGGAGGCGGAAGCGCCCCGGGCAGCCGCCAGCGCGCCTGCGCGAAGGCTGGCCCGGCCGCACCGCTGTCAGTACCTCCGGGCGGCCGCCTACGGCACATGCGCACTCCCGCGAGTGAAGTCGCGGCTCGTCCCGGCGGTGGATCCGAAGGGACTCGTTGTTGATTCTTTGCACGCTGTGCCTGAGCTCTTTGCTGGGCCGGGGCAGGCGGAACCGGTGCGGTTGATCTCAGCCTCGCGGTGTCAGGGCGGGGTCGGAGAGAGGACCCCACATCTGGGGTCCCCAAGAGGGTGGTGTGGGGGTGGAATGGAAGGAGGAGATGGGAGATTTCCTGGAGGAGGGCGCGTTTTGGTGGACTTGGAAGTTCCTGAACCTTCTAACATACTGATCTCGTTGCTCGTTGTTGTCTTCCTCTTTCATTAAAGTACAAACAACATGAGGGCAGGGTGCGTTTTATTCACTCGTGTCCCGAAAGCCCCCTGAACTATGCTTGTTGCAGAATTGGGGCTGGAAACATTCTTGTTGAATTGCTTCTGAAAATGCTCCCTGGCGATTTGTGTGCCTGAGGACCCTGAGAGGCCTCTACCCTGGCTCTTGGCTGGAGGAGCTCCTAAGATGGGGCAAATGGGTCTTGGCTGATGAGAAAGGGTATTCCAGGGAATAGCATGGGCAGGGAAGACTGGAAGCAGGAGACCTGGTGGGCCTGGCCAGCTGGGCCACTTATCCGGGTCAGAGAATTCAGGAGCCTGTGGTAAGTGCCATGAGACTTGCATGGGTAGTGCGTCTTTAAAATCAGTAACAAGTTAAGAAAACAGTCTATTTACAAAAGCACCAAAAAGAATAAGATACTTAGTAATGAACTTAATGAAAGAATCGCAAAACTTGTGCACTGAAAACTACAATACTTCGCAAAAAAATGATTTAAAGATGATCTAAGTAAATGGGAAGACATCTTCTGTTCATGGATTGGAAGGTTGAATAGCGTTACGATGTCCGTACTCCCCAAATTCGTCTACAGATTCAACGCAGTTGCTATCAAACTTCAGACTTCTTTTTTTGGGTAGAAATTGATAAGCTGATCCTAAAATGCATATGGAATTGTAGGAGGCCCCAAGTAGCCACAATAATGTGGAAAGAAAAGCAAAGTTGGAGGACTCACATACCCTGATTCCAAACTTGCTGGCAGAGCTACAGTGATCCAGACCTTGTGGTATTGGCATAAGGAGAGAGCTATCAATGTATTAGAACCTGGCAATGCAGATATAAACCCATACATCCATGGTCAGTGGATCTTTACAAACAAGGGTGCCAGGGATCATTCAATGGGCAAAGAATGGTCTTTTCAACAAATGGCACAACTGGATAGTCACATGCAAAAGAATGAAGTTAGACCCTATAATGGCAGAACGGTAGGACACCCCCACCCCCACCCCACTGCTCCTGGCAAAGGTGTCTACACCATCATCCCCAGAACCCGTGAATAATGTTAGGTTACTTGGCAAGGGGAAATAGTGGTTGCAGATGGAATTAAGTTGCAAATCAGCTGTCCTTAAAATAGATAGCCTGGATGGGCCCCATGTAATCACCAGGGTCCTCGTAAATGGAAGAAGGGAGGGGATGAGGGAGAACCAGAGGAATGACAGCATGAGAAAGACTCAACCCACTGTTGCTGGCTTAGAAGATGGAAGAAGGGGCAATGAACCAAGAAATGTGGGTGGCATCTAAAAGCTAGGAAAGGCACGCAAGTGGGTTCTTTCAACCACTAGAGGGAAGGCAGCCACAGGCCAATGCCTTGATTTTAGTCACGTGAGCTCCATTTCTGACTTCTGACCTTCAGAACTAGAAGATGATAAATTGGTGTTGTCATTTTAAGCCAGTAAGCTTGCGGTAATTTGTTACATCTGCACTGGAAAACAAACACAGATCCCCCGCCTCACACGATATACAAATTAAAATGGATCGGGGCGCTTGGCTGGCTCAGTCAATAGAGCATGCAACTCTTGATCTCGGGGTTGTAGGTTTGAGCCCCACGTTGGGTGTAGGGATCACTTTAAAAAAAATGGATCAGGGGGTGCCTGGGTGGCTCAGTCGGTTGAGCGTCCGACTTCGGCTCAGGTCATGATCTCGCGGTTTGTGAGTTCGAGCCCCGCATGAGGCTCTGTGCTGACAGCTCAGAGCCTGGAGCCTACTTCAGATCCTGTGTCTCCTCCTTTCTCTGCCCCTCCCGTGCTCATGCTCTATCTCTCTCTGTGTCTCTCAATAATAAATAAACGTTAAGAAAAAAAAAAAATTAAAAAAAAAATGGATCAAAGGCCTAAATGTTAAGGGCTGAAACGAAAAACCCTTAGAAGAAAACAAAGTCATAAATCTTTCTAAAAAGTGTATTTCTTTATTTTGAGACAGCAGAAGGCAGGCATGTGTGACTGGAGACTGACCACCCAGGCCAGACTGGAGATGAGACCAGGAAGGGAAGGGCCACACCCCTTAGCAGATCCTCTGAAGGGCTTGAGTAGGGGAGAGGCCTGGGGTATGTTTTTAAAAGATCACTTTGGCTACGACATAAAGGGATTGTGGAGGGATGGGGTGGGAGTAGGGAGGCCAGCCAGGAGCCACATTTAGTGGGTTAGAGAAATCTAGTGCTGGCTGGGTTTGGTGGGTTTAGGGTCTGTCTTGGAGGCAAGGCTCCTGATCGATCCTTCCTTCCTTCCTTCCTTCCTTCCTTCCTTCCTTCCTTCCTTCATTCCTTCCTTCCTTCCTTCCTTCTCTCATATCGCATTTTTTATTTTTATTTTTTTTAAATGTTTATTTATTTTTGAGACAGAGACAGAGCATGAACGGGGGAAGGTCAGAGAGAGAGGGAGACACAGAATCCGAAACAGGCTCCAGGCTCTGAGCTCTCAGTACAGAGCCTGACGCCGGGCTCGAACTCACAGACCGTGAGATCATGACCTGAGCTCGAACTCACAGACCGTGAGATCATGACCTGAGCTGAAGTTGGATGCTCAACCGACTGAGCCACCCAGGCGCCCCATTATATTGCTTTTTAAAAGATCTACTTAAAATTCAAGGAAGCAAATGGTTCTTTGGATAGGTTAGCCTCAAATAGCCCCACCGTTAAGTTTGCAATACAGATCTGACCTCAGGATGGATGTTTTTCAGCGTCGCTTCATCATGGTGTTCAGTATGAAAGCTTTCCAAGTGTGTCTTCTTCTTCTTCTTCTTTTTTTTTTTTTTAATTTTTAACCTGATCCTTTCTAGTGGATGGGCCAAGGAGTACGAGGAAAAAGAGGAATCAGGATTGAGTCCCGAGTTTCGAGCTTACTGAATTAGATGCCTGGTGGAGCTTAAGCTAACTGAGACACGGAAGCAGGTTGGAGAGAACACGCAGGTCCGTTTGTTGCCCGTGTTTTGTCTGAAATAGACATATTTCCCAAAGAAAGTGCTGGCAAGGACATGGGAAATTGGAACTCTTACACACAGCTGCTGGCGGGACCATAAAATGGTGCAGTCACTTTGAAAAACAGTCTGGCAGTCCCTCAAAATATGGAACAGTTGCCATATGAGCTAGTATTTCCACACTTTGGTTTATACCCCCCCCCAATTAAAAACATATGTTCACACAAAGACTTGTACACAAATGTTGACGGCAGCACTATCACAATAGCTAAACAGGGTAAATAACTCAATGTCCATCAACTGGTCGATGGTCAACATGTGGCCCATCCATACAACGAAATATTATTTGTCCATAAAAAGGAATGAACCTGGATGAATCTTAAGAACGTGATGCCAAGCGAAAGAAGCCAGACATCAAAGACCACATGTTGTATGATTTCATTTACATGAAATGTCCAGAACAGACAAATCCATAGAGACAGAAAGCCAATTAGTGGCTGCCAGGGGCTGGGGAGAGAGACTTCTAATGGGTATGAAGTTTCCTTTTAGGGGAATCAAAGTGTTCTGGAACCAGAGAGAGGTGACGGCTGCACAACTTCGTAAACACTCAACACCACTAAATTGGGCAATTTAAAAAGATGAATTTTAAGGTATGTGAATGACACCTCAAGTGAAAACAAGTCAGTAGGGGCGCCTGGGTGGCTGAGTGGGTTAAGGGTCCAAATCTTAATTGCGGCTCAGGTCGTCCTCTCACAGTTCGTGGGACTGAGCCCTGCATTCGGCTCTGCCGTGACAACATGGAGCCCGCTTGGGATTCTCTCCCTCCGTCTCTGCCCCTCCCCTGCTCTCACACAAGTGCTCTCTCTCAAAATACACAAACATTTAATTTTTTTTTTTCAACGTTTATTTATTTTTGGGACAGAGAGAGACAGAACATGAACGGGGGAGGGGCAGAGAGAGAGGGAGACACAGAATTGGAAACAGGCTCCAGGCTCTGAGCCATCAGCCCAGAGCCCGAAGCGTGGCTCGAACTCACAGACCGCGAGATCGTGACCTGGCTGAAGTCGGACGCTTAACCGCCTGCGCCACCCAGGCGCCCCAAAATACACAAACATTTAAACAAAACAAAACAGTAGGAGTTGGCCAGGCATGCAGCGGACGAACAATGGTTCAGGCACAAGAGACAGCAGGTGCAAAGGCACCGAAGGGAGACGCAAGCTGGGAATGACCACTCGCGGTGGAAAGAAAAGAGCCTATAGGATGGCAAGCTCCAGCCAGGGAGCCTGGACTCTTTCCCAAAGCGAGGGAGACCCTTGGAGGGTAGGAGGCAAGGTCCCAGCCCACAGCTACCTCTCCTTGGAAGGCTCTCGTGTCCTCAACTCCCCCTCCTTCACACGCCCTCTCTGGCACGGCTTCTCCCTCCTTGTCCCTCACACACCACTGCTCGACCCCACGTGCCGATGCCAGACCAGGACGAGTCTCTTCCCACGTCACAGGGACGGACATCCCCTCCGTACACATCCTGCCGGGGCCCCTCCGTGAAGGGGGGAGGCTTGAGGCCACAGATCGCCTCCTGATCCCAGCTCTTCCTCCCAGACTTAACCCCGGTTCCTGGGGCAGGGCGGGGGTGGGGAGAGGGCGTCCCAGACCGACTCGTCTCATCAGGCATAAACAATACAAAGCTCTCAAGCCATGAAACGTCGTGGAGGGCGCCTGAGTGGAGCTTCATCCGGCTAAGCGAAAGAAGCTGGTCTGGAAAGGCTATATACATTGCGTGATTCCAAGCGTGTGACCTGGAAAAAAGCAAGACTATGGAGACGGGGAAAAGATCGGCGGTTGCCAGGGGTTGGGATAGGAGGGGCGGAGCACCGGGGACGTTTAGGGCAGAGAAACTAGGATACTATCACAACGGGTGCAAGCATTTGCTGAAACCCACAGAATGCACAACACGGAGTGAACGCTAACATAAACCGTAGGCTTGAGAGAAGAACGCACGGACACAAGGCCCATCAACCCTAACAAATGCAGGGCGGTGATGCAAGATGTTAAAATGGTAAGAGAGACAGGGGGCGGGGTGACAAGAGTATATGGGAACTCTGTACTTTCCACTTTTTTTTTTTTTTTAATAAACCTGACGTTGCCCCAATAAATAAAGTTTATGATTAATTAAAAAGACAGACACAGAGCCTGACGCAGGATTACTTTCTTGTCAGCTCGGAGGGAGCGTCTTACCCTTCTGGGACTCACAAGCTTTGGACCAAGAAAGGTCCTGCTGGCCCACTTTCGCACCGGGAGCTGCTGGCATGGACTCCATTCCCCTGCTTGTACCTCAGTTTCCTCGTCTGTACAACGGGGACCACGGCGGTTGAGGTCTCGTGGCACGTTATACGGGATGCAGTTGTTTGGTCAGCACACCAGGGGCGCTGCACCCCCAGAGGCAGGACCCTTCCCCTGCCTTCTTCTCCTGGCCGGCTGTGGGCATCCAAGGACAGCCCCACCCATCGATGGTTCACAGAACCTACAGGCACCTCCTCTGGGACCGGGGCCGGCGCAGGGCTTCGTGAGGCCCCAGAGGCTGCAGGGAGGCAGCGAGAACGCTAACCCGAGGCCCCAGAGGCCGTGCCGATGGGCTTACAGGCAACAGGGGACAGCAAGAAAAAGCCGTGTGTCTGGCTCTTGCCTGGTGAACAGGAGATCCCCAGCGAAAGTCCTGCCTTCTGAAACTCCGAAAGCGTTCTGTGCCACATGGGGACAGACAGTAAACAACTGGGATTCAGGCACTGGACACTCTGCAGGTTTATTTCTTCAGTTCAACTAGGAAACAAAACCTTGGTGCTTGGAAAGGCCCAGCACTGGCCCCAGTGTTTGAGGGGCTGGATGCTACTGCAGAATTGGGGGGCGGGACGGACAGTCTGAGTGGCCAGGAGTCCCGGGATGAGCCACCAATGAGGCCGACCACCAACACGAGGTCTGAACTGTCACCAACAAAGCCAGTGGGGATATTCAATGGGCTGGAACTTCCAAGGCCCCGAAGTCCATCTCAGACACCACCCCCAGGCGGGAGACCTCCCCCTACACCACCGCTGCCACTCCTGTGGGTCCCACCAGCAGCGGCGTCCGATGGGGACCCCCAAGAGTCCTCTGCCAGGGTGAGTGTCTGGATGGTGAGCCGAACAGCCACCCGGCGCGGTCTTCAAGGCTCCTCTAGCAAGAGCTCCGTGGAGGCACCTAAAAGGAGACATCTGGGCAGGGGCAATGTCTAAGGGGTCACAGTCAATTCTGGAAGCTTCCGGGCATCAGGAAGGGCAGACAGGGGACAGGAGGGAGGCCCACCAAAGACGGTTAAGTGCAAAAGGCAACTGGCCCAGCCTGGGAGAGATTTCTAGCTGGCCTGGAGGTCCCTTGACAATGACCCCCCCTGACCCCCAGGTGGGCAGGGCAAACCACGTGGATCCTCTGCTCGGGAAGGGTGATAGAGGGTCTGTCTGGAGCTGAGACTGGCCTGTGACGCCCTGGGGCCCAGCAGCCTGGGGAGGCGCGGACTGTCGCTCCTTAAGGCACAGCTGAGACTCGGGAGGCTGAGAAGCTCCACTCTGGGTCCATGACCCAGCAGGGAGGACAGCTGGGCCCTGCATGCCCGCAGATCTCAGGAGAGAGCAGGGGAAAAGAAAGAGGGAAGAGGTGTGGGCATACGGGGCAGCGGGGAGGCTGAGAAGCAGGGAGGAGAGAGTCGCACAGAGCCACAGGCAGGAGAACTCAGGCAGGAGACAAGCCCCGAGGAGGAGGGAGGGGAGAGAGGGTAGGCTGCTGAACACCAGGGTGGCCCCACCTGGCATGGCTGGGCCAGCCCCCCCGCCTCACTGGCAGGGCCGGGCTGGGAGTCTCTAGTGGGCGGAGGAGGAGCGTCAGAGGGCAAAGGCACCCGAGCAGATGCGAGTATAGACACTCTGGTCGAGGGGCAGGTAGTGGCCCTGCTTCGGGTCCAGGAAGAAGAGCCGGTCCGAGGTCTGGCGTGGGTCAAAGCCCTCATGCTGCAGCCGAGTCTTCTGGATCTTGAAGGTGCCTGTAGGGGTGAGGATGGGGATACTCAGCAAGGGGGTTCCAGGCACCCCCAACTCACCATCCTCTCCTACACCTCCAGGCTTCTGCATAGGCCATCCCCTCGGCTGGAAACAGTCTTCCTCATTTTGTCTGCCTGATTCTCCTTTGCCCTTCAGATCCTGACTTCACGCCCCCTCCCCCAGGGAGGCCTCCCTGACTACCCCCATCACAGCCGCATACTCTGTGTACTCCCTGCCTGGTCACACGGACAGCCCTGAGACCAAAGCAGGGCTGAGTCTGTCACACGGTAGGTCAGGGGGCAGCAGCCTGTAGCCGAGGGCCAAATGTGGCCCATCATCTGTTTTGTAAATAGTTTTATTGGCATGAAGCTATGCCTACCCATTTACACAATGTCTAGGACAGCTTTTACACCACAGAGCCAGAGGTGTATGGGACAGAGACTGCATGGCCCCAAAACTGAAAATATTTACTACCTGGTCCTTTAAGAAAAAGTTTGCACTCCCTACAGTGAACAAGTAAAGGAAGGTTTCATGAAAGATAAGCCTAGGAGCACCTGGGTGGCTCAGTTGGTTAAGCATCTGACTTTGGCTCAGCTCATGCTCTTGAGGTTCATGGGTTCAAGCCCTATATCGGCCTCTCTACTGTCAGTACAGAGTGCTCTTTAGACCCTCTGTCCCCCTCTCCTTGTGCCCCTTCCTTGTTCTCTCTGTGTCTCTCTCTCTCTCAAAAGTAAATAAACATCGGGACGCCTGGGTGGCTCAGTCAATTGAGCATCTGACTTCGGCTCCAGTCATGATCTCACAGTTCGTGAGTTCGAGCCCCGCGTCGGGCTCTGTGCTGATGGCTCGGAGCCTGGAGCCTGCTTCGGATTCTGGGTCTGTCTCCCTCTCTCTGCCCCTTCCCTGCTCATGCTCTGTCTCTGTCTCTCAAAAATGAACAAACATTAAAAAAAATGTTTTTTTTTAAGTAAATAAACATTAAAAAAAAAAAAAAAAGATAAAGCTAAGGGTTCGGGCCAGTAGGAAAAAATGGTCGAGGGATACCTGTATGCTTTAGAGTTGAGAAGGTGTCTTGTTCTAAATAAAACTTCAAAAGCATAAACCATAACATTAAAAAAAGGGGGGGGTAAGTTTGTATCAAAATTAAGGGCTTCTTTTCAACAAAAGCCCCATAAACAAGGTTAACGGCTCGACTCCCAAATAGAAGACTTCTGATGTCCGAAACTGCTACGGAATTAACATCTGGACGATTAGGAGAAACTCTCACAAATCGAAAAGAAAAAGACAGCAAGGCTATACAAAGATGGGCAAAAGATACAAACAGGCAATTTACAGAAGCAGGAAATCTCCTAGATAACAAGATGATTTGCTCAAAGTTCCTAGTCACCAGAAAAAATGCAGGAAATGGAAGAAATGCCCCAAACACTGCAGAATGCCTAGTGGGGGTAGGATCGAGGAATGGAAATAAATAACGATGCTAATAACACAAGAGAAAGGCCCTGCGTGAGCCCACCGTGCCTGCTGGCCACGAACCATCGTGTCAGACTTGGCACAAGGATCTGAACCAGGACAAATAAGCAAATGGTTGTTGAACCAAAAGACAGATGGACGGACAGACGGAGAAGCGAGAGGCCGCACCTGTAGTGTCCACTTGGGGCAGGAGGCGTAGGAAGATGGGCCGGGCATAGGGCGCCAGCACCTTCTGCAGCTCTTGGTACAGCACATTGGGGCTCAGCTGGCCGTGGGGGTCCGCGATGGCCGCCATGCCTGCTTTGCCCTCTACTCCTGGAGATAGAGGTTTCACTGAGAACACCCCACCTTTTGTGCCGCCGCAGGACTGAATACACCCTCAGACAGAGGCCCCTGGTCTCTGATCTCTAGTCCCTTCCATCTGAGATAACGCTTGCTGAAGCAGCAATCATTATTCTTATTGAGCTTTTGCTGTACTCGCTGCAACTCTGAGACCGTCGCTTTCACGATCCCATGTACTGGATAAGGAAACCGAGGGGTTATCATCCAGGAGGGGTAACTCCAGCTCCAGTGCCCCGACGCAGGTTGCTATGTGCAGTTATCCGAGCTGAGCACTGCCCAAGAGCACCTGTACCTCCAAGCTCATGCAGGTTGGGCTCCTCTGGGGCTGCCATACCCTAGGACCACCCCCACAAACCCAGCTTGCCTGGCACAGCCACCCCGTACACAGCCACATCTGTCTGGCCCAGCAGGCGGCTGAGCACGCCCTCCACCTCAGTAGTGGAGACATTCTCCCCACGCCAGCGGAAGGTGTCCCCGCCACGGTCCCGGAAGTACATGTAGCCCAGCTCATCCATCACCAGCACGTCACCTGGCAGAGGGGAGGAGGAGAGGTAAGATGGTGGCCCGCCATCCCCACAGCCAGCCCCCAGGATCTTCGCACCTGAGAGGTAGGCGCTGTCGCCCTTGCGGAAGACACTGTGGGCGATCTTCTTGCTGGTGGCGCTCTCGCTGATGTAGCCATCGAAGCGACGCAGCGGGTCCTGCTGGTTGATCTGGCCCACGAGGAGGCCAGGCTCCCCTGGAGAGGAGGCCACCCTCAGGCTGCGCTGGGTGGGCAGGGGGCGGGGGCCCCGGTTTCCCCAGGGGTCTGGGCAGGGCCTGGCTCACCGGCCTGACACGGGATGCAGAGGCCCTGGGCATCCCGCAGTAGTTCCATGGTGTCCTCGTTGACCTTCACCAGCCGGATGGGGTACACATGGGGCAAGATACGGCTGTTAAAGCCACAGGAGCCGACCTGGGATGGGGTGAGCCACGTCGTGAGGAGCCCTGTGGGGCATGGTGTCCTCCCCACTGACACCTTGCCTCTCCTGCCCCAGGGCCTGGAATTAGCACGCTGTGTCCCTGAACTCTGTGGCCTTGGGCGATCCGAAGAAGGGGGTATTAAGGGCAGTGCCGCCTTCCCAGGACTCATGCCCCTCCTCCCATCTCCCCGGCCTCCTTTGGCCATCATCTCGTGAGGAAACCTGCTGACTGGTCACCACTTCCTGGTCCCTAAAACCCTCTATGCTGGCAGGAAGTGAATGCCTGGGGTAACCCCGGAGCCACGTGGGGACACTGGCAGAGCTTCCGCCCGCTCCCCGCTGCATGCCACCTTGCCTGGCTCAGTCCAGTGAGCACAAATCCCTGTCTAATGGGTCTGTGCTGCCGTGTGCTGTTGGGTACGTCTGTTACGGCAGCAACTGGTGTTAATGCAGCCCAGAGTGTCTTCAACAGACATGCACGGTGGGGGCAGTGCCTTGTTCTCAGGTCCTGAGGACCCAAAACACAGACAGGAAACAAATCACTGCCCCTCCGGTGTTTGCTTTATTATTATTCTCATTAGCGGTGCCTGGCTTAGGATGGGAGGAGTTCGATAAGGCAGCAGGGTCCTGCTAAGGCAGGATGGAAACATTAATTGCAAATCATAAAAGCAACCGCAGAGAGCTTGCAACCTGGGGGTGCCGCGCTGAGCTCGTGATTACGTTGGGTGATTAGAACAGGCCCAATGGGCTGTCGTCCCCATGTACAGAGGAGGAAGCCAAGGCCCAAGGAGTCTAAGTGACTTACCCAGTAGGAGTGGATGGGCACCCCAACCCTGGCCCCTGGATCCCCCCGAGTCCCGCCCCCCCCCCCACCTCCCCTGCCCTGTGCCGCCTGGCCGGGCCCTCCCGGCAGATCAGGCTGCTCTGGGAGAACGCGGGGCCGGGGAGGCAGAGGTAGCAGCGATCCCGGAAGGTCAGAGCCTGCCCCGCGCCGCCCCACCGCCGCCCACCTTCCCGTCCACGTTGGCGATGCTGCAGTTACACTCGGTCGCTCCATAGAACTCGCCGATCTGGCGCACGCCGAAGCGCTCGGTGAACTCCTCCCATATGGCGGGCCGCAGCCCGTTGCCCACGGCCAGGCGCACGCGGTGCCGCCCCTCGGCCTCGCGCACCGGCTGCTTCAGCAGGTAGCGGCAGATCTCCCCGATGTACTGGACCACCTGGGGGCGGGAGAGGGGGGGAAGCGAGGGTTGGGCGGCCACGCTGGGCTCCAGCCCCCGAGCCACCCCTCCAACCTGGGCGCTAGGAACAAAGCGCTCTTAAAGGGCGATGGTAACAAAACAGCCCAGGCCGTTTACGCCTGCCCCTCGCCCGAATCCACGCCAGGGGCAGGGGCCGAGAGGATGCGGTCAGCGTCCCCCATGCCCCTCCGCGCTCCGTCCATCCCCACGCTGCCTCCAGGAGCCCCCAGCGTGCGCCACGGGCAGGGCAGGAAGGCGGGCTGAGGTTGACACCCCACCGGGCAGCCCTCAGCCGCTCCACACTGTCCCCCAAGAGCCCTGGTTCCAGGTGCGGGCCCCACGCTGCCTCTCTGACCCGAACCTCAGCGCCCCGCCCCCCCTCCGCAGGGCTCCTTCCCTCCCCGTCTCAAGGGTCCACCCCCGAGGGGGGGGGGGTGAGTCATCTCCCAGATACCCCAGGTGCCTTCAAGTCCTTATCTGAGGTTTGGCTTCCTAAGGATTACCCCCGATCACCACCACCACCAGTTTTACTAGGGGTCACAAACAGTTAAGTAACCGGACCAAAGCTGGTAAGTGATAGTGCTTGATTTGAATCTGGGCATCGCGGCCGGAGTGTGAACGAAACAGTTACACGCTCAGGATGAAGCGCCAAGTTGATCATTACAGCTCCAAAGTGTTCACAGCGTCCCCTCACCAACGGGATAAAGTCCAAATTTCTGCCAGTGGTCAATTCCCTTCGCAACCCCCCCCCCTGCCCCCACTGCCTTCCCTCCTTCCCTTTCGCACCAACACCCTGTGCCACACAGGGCTCCTCAGGGCCTTTGCACATGCTGTGCCCGCTGCCTGATGCGAAAATCCTTCCCCAGGGATGCATCTGGGTCCCCAGGGTTTGGGCCAAATATCACTGCCGCGGAGAGGCATTCCCTGCACAGTGCTTGTTGAATCCCTGATGAATAAACACATGTGCTGAGTATTCTACCGCCAAACACAGAGCTCATCCGTTTAATTCTCCCAACACTCCACGCGGGACAGGAAGGCAAGAGATTCACAGTGGGAAACGGCCTGTCCAAGATCATCAGCTGCTGGACACGAGGCAAGCCCAGGATGGGGCAAGGTCAGAGCCTGAAGGTGGGGAGTTCTCTCCCTCGGTCCCTAGGCTCAGGTCAGTGCTTTTGCCGGGGGCCCAGCCCACGCCAACCTAAGACACAGCGGGGCCAACCAGCCCAGTCTGTCCCCAGCTAGTAATTGGTTCAAGGGTGAGCACATGACCAGAATTAGGCCAATGAGAATCAGCCCCAGACTGTCGCTACCTGAGCTGCTGAAAACCTGCCAGAAGAAACAGGGCTAAGAAGGAAGCTGCACACCTAGGAAGGAGAAAAACAAGAAATGGACAGAGACAGAGCACCTCCTGGATCAGGTCGTGCCTGAAGCTGTCCAGCTCTCAGCTGTCCTCTTCAGGCCAGGGGAGGGACAACCCAGCCACAATTGAGGCAGCGGAGGGAGACAATGACACCGCCCCTCCACTCCCCCCCAACCATGGCCCTGAGTCTGTGTCACACTGAAAGCAAACAGCTGATCTTTACCTCTGCCTGGACCCCGGGACAGACCCAGGGCTGAAGGGAAGACAACTCAGGTCAGCTCAGAGAGGCAGACATCAGATGGCCTATGCCAACACCTCCAGCCTGCACGGTGGCACCTAGATAGAGGCTGGGAGCAGATCATCGACCAGGGACCCTGCTACAACTCCCCCGCGTCAGGGTGACCTTGTACACTAGGTGCACGCACCCCAGTGGGCAGGGAGAGACACAGGCACCACACATTCAACCCCCCCCCCCCCAGGGATGAGGAGGGGTGGTGTCACCTGTCCCCTGCCCGTCTGCTGCTACACAGCAAAGAAAGTGGGGTTCTAATGTTTATTTATTTTTGGGAGAGACAGAGACAGAGCGTGAGCAGGGGAGGGGCAGAGACAGAGGGAGACACAGAATCCGAAGCAGGCTCCAGGCTCCGAGCTGTCAGTGCAGAGCCCGACGCGAGGCTCGAACCCACGAACAGGGAGATCACGACCCGAGCCGAAATCGAATGCTTAACCAACTGAGCCACCCAGGAGCCCCGGAAGTGGGGCTCTAAATGACAGCCCGCTGCCTCCCCTGAGGACGGATGGACTGTTGTTTGGGCCTGGGGCCACCGCTGCAAGTAAACAGCAGCCAAGCAGTTTCCCTGTCCAACAGCCAAGGGATGGGATTTCCGAACCCAAATGCATGCACTTGTTTTGTCAATGTCCTTGTTAAACCTCTGAGTCCTTGACCTCTGAGGATTCCGTCCTCTATTCCTTAAAGAGCCCCTCAGTGTTTAGCATGTACCTTCTTTTAGACACAGAAATTCCCCTTCTTAGAAACAGACTACCAAGGGTCCAGAGACGGTGAATGATGCCCGATGCAGCACGGCATGTCAAGGACAAAGAGGGGGACCACCTGACACCACGGGCCTCCCAGTGGGAGGGCACAGCACCACCGACAAGGAATCCTTGCCAAAAAAAGTTGAACTTGAAGCTGATCAAATATCTAGACTAGGGGTTCTCAACCACAGGCAATTCTGTCCCCCCAGAACACTTGGCAACATCTGGATGCATTTTGAACGGTCACGACTGGGGTGGGGGGGGGATGCGTGGGATGCTCTTGGCCTCTAGTGATGTCAGGTCAGGAATGCCTGTCAATATCCTGCAGTGCACAGGATGGCCCCCAGAGCAGAGACTGATCCAGCCCCAAATATCCCAAGCATCATGGTGGAGAAACACTGTGCTAGACCCAACAACTCCCAATGGACAGGAAATGCCAGGGACAGAGGAACACGTTAAGAGACACTGTCTCCAGATCGGGAAAATACTACAGGACAAGCAACTTCCTTTCTTCAGTAAATACACACAAGATGGGGAAAAAAAAAGAAACAAGAGGTTCCTACAGATGAAAGGATTCCCATGAGACACATCGACGGTCGAAATGTGTGGGTCTCCTCTAAAAACGGATTTTGTCCGAATTCTAGAAACAGGGGAAAGACCACCTTTTTGACAAGGCGAGTCCCTGGGGATTGAGCCGCTGCCCAGATTCCTGATGACACTGCGGGGGTCACTGTCACTTTCTGGCTGTGATGGCAGTGCTGAGCTTACAGGTTTTTTTTTCTTTTCTTGTTGCATTCACGTATACCTAAAATTGACCATCTGAAGCACTTTTAAGTGCACAGCTCGGTAGTATTAAGTACATTCACACTGGGAGCCAGCCATCACCATCCACCGGAACTCCTTTCGTCTTGGAGAACTGAGATTCTGTCCCCACTGGACGCTGGGTTCCCACCCCCTCCCCCTCCGGCAGCCCCGTTGGCTTCCGTGTTTCAGCCCTTATAAATAGCACTGCTGTGAACCTTTGTGTGCAAATATCTCTTGGAGACCCTGCTTTCACGTCTTTTGTTCTAGAAACAGCCCTCACCAGACACAAAAAGCCACACAGTATCTGATCCCACTTACAAGAAAGGTCCAGGACAGGCAAATCCATAAAGATAGAGAGCAAATTAGTGGCTACCCCAGGCACGGGGGGAGGGAGGGGAACAGGGCTGGGGAGTGACTGCTGATACCGGGTTTTCCTTCAGGTGTGCTGGAAATGTTCTGGAATTAGAGGTGGTGGTTACACAACATGGTGAATGCACTAAGGGTCACTAACTGTCCGCTTTAAAAATGGTTTATTTCGGGGCGCCTGGGTGGCTCAGTCGGTTGGACGTCCGACTTCGGCTCAGGTCACGATCTCGCGGTCTGTGAGTTTGAGCCCCGCGTCGGGCTCTGTGCTGACAGCTCAGAGCCTGGAGCCTGTTTCGGATTCTGTGTCTCCCTCTCTCTCTGCCCCTCCCCCGTTCATGCTCTGTCTATCTGTCTCAAAAATGAATAAATGTTAAAAAAAAATTTAAAAAAAAAGGTTTATTTCATACGAATTTTGCCTCAAAAGCAAAACAGTCCTCATCTTTCAGAGGTTTTCCAGAAACATCTATGTAGGAAACACACTGCTCTCTGGGGGTTGTTTCACAATGATGCCGAAGGAGGGATGTGGGTGGGGCTAGAGGGGGCAGGATGGGGTGTTTGAAGGCCCCTGGGGCCAGTGACAGGTGCAAAAGAGAAAATCCTCCTCGGATTTCCTTCGGTTAGTGAAATCAGGTACTGATGTAGGTCTTTCCCCAAAGCAAAGCACTGTCACTGGAACTTCCAGAAAGCGGTGGGGGGTGATCTGTATTCACAACTCTCAATAATCAAGTGGATCAAACAGACCCGCTTGCCCTTCAAGACTTGGTTTAACAACGTTCCTCAAGGGCCACCCACAAGGAAAAAAGGAAAATCCTCAAAAGGAGAGCAAATCAGTCATTGCCCCCCAAAGACGCCCAAGATGCCAACCCAGAGCCCCCCCCCCCTGCCTAGCTGTGTGACCTGGGCAGCTGGGCTAACCTCTCTGGGCCCCACCCATCCAAGGTGAGGTGGGCACCTGCCAACTTGCCAGTCCCTGGACACATCCCATTCTCTCCTCTCCTCACCCCTTCTTCCTGGAGGCAGGTGATAGCACCTGTATTTCTATCCTCATCAGGACACTGAAATCCGCAGCCTGGTTTCCTCTCACCGTGGAGGGGAGAAGAGAGGAAGGACCGGGTCCTAGCGCACCCCGCCCCCCATTTTCTACAGGACTGTGGATGTCCTCACCCCACCTGAGCCCCACACCTTGTGGCCTTAACCAGCGCAGGGCGGTGACTGCACCCACAGGCCTCATTTCCTGCAGCCACCAGCAGGGAAGGCTGCTGGGGCCCAGGGCAGCGCGTTAGAGAACTCAGGCAGCCTGGCCCCAATTCCAGATGCGTTACAGGCCTCAATTTCCCCACCTGCACAATGGCCTCTGCGATGCCTCTGCCCACTCTCAAGCAGTCCTAAGATTCCATGCAGTTTGCGTGTCGAAGTAAGGTTAGCCTGGGGCTGACACGGAGCACGTGCTCCAGAAGCACGGGCCACCTTCCTGTCCCCCTCCGGGGGCCCTGGAGAACAGGGGGTCGGGGGAGTGGCTGCCCCGCAGCGGAGGACCTGCAGGTGGAGGGCGGGGCAGCGCGCGGGAGGGGCGGGGCCTGACCGTGCAGTTGTACTTGACGCAGTCATCCCAGAAGCGGCTGGCTGAGAACTTCTTGCGGAGGACCACCGTCAGCCCGTAGAGGAGACACTGCCCCACGCCCATGATGTTGCCTGCAGAGGGCGGGCTCGGTGAGGGGTCTCCAGTCCCTGCCCCACCCCCGCCCGGCCTGCCCATAGTACCTGCCGTGTGGTACAGGGGCAGGCAGTCATAGAGCACGTCTGCCACCTGCATGCTGTAGGCGTAGTGGCCGAAGGCTGCGATGCGGTAGTACCTGCGGGGGGTGGGGGCAGGGAGTGCAGGGGCTGGGGCTTATGTCCTCCAGGGTATGGGAGTTGGGGGAATCTGTGGCGGGGGAGGGGACACAGCAGGGACCCAGGCAGAGCCAGCCCAGCTCACAGCGGGGGGGGGCCGCGCCCGGCGGGCGGGAGAGGTGTGGGGAGGCGACACACGAGCTGAGATCTGGTGAGAAAGGGCTATGGGGGCTGAGCCAGAGAGCGCCTTGGTGGAGGGCACAGCCTGTGCAAAGGCCCGGAGGGCAGAAGGGCCCTGGCCGAGTTGAGGAAGTGTAACGAGCTGAGAGGGCTCGAGCGAGGGGTGGAGAGGGGGAAAATGAGAATTGGCAGGGGGTGCGCAACGCGGGCGTGGATTTTACTCTGAGGGCCAAGGCAGGTACAGAGAAGTCCGGCATGGGGGGGCGGTCTGGTTTAGGATTTGAGACCCTCCCGCAGACGGAGCGGCACTGTCCTGAGATGGGCCGTGGGTCTTCCGCGGGGTGAAGACAGAAATGTCCCCAAGATCCCAACAAGAGCGGAGGGAAGGGGTCAGCCGTACAGGCGACCGGGAGTCACTCTCCAAAGCTGGGGTGATGCCCACCGGCCCCCCTCACCTGCTGTGCACTACAATGGCGGCCTTGGGCAGCCCCGTGGTCCCCGATGTGTAGATGTAGAAGAGTCGATCTGCAGGAGACGCATGTGTTGGGGTCCGAGGATGAGGGGGTGGGGGGCGGGGGGCACTGGCAGCGGAAGGAAGGCGGGTGTCCCGTGCCAGCCTCACCATCCATTCCCTTGTCAGGGGGCTGTGCCAGGGGGGCGGTGGAGGCCTCCTTCAGCAACGGGTCCAGGAGTCGGGCGTCCGGCAGGATGCCCTCAGGCCCCAGTTCTCCAGAGCAGAACTTGAGCAGACTCTTCCCCAGCTGTCCGCTCACCTCGGCCACCACTGTAGCCCAGAGCAGACGTCACGGTCAGGGGCGGCCTGGGATGTACCACGCCATCTCGCCGCCCCCCGCCCCCCGGAAGGCCCCAGGGCTCCCCCCCCCCCCGCCCCCTGCTCAGGATGCCAGCTGCGCCCGGCCTCACCTGCTGCCAGCTCCCCTCCGAAGATGAGCGCCTTGGCACCCGAGGTGCCCAGGCAGAAGGCCAGGGGCTCCCGCCGCAGGTTCACGTTGAGCAGCGCGGCTTCCACGCCTGCCTTGGCCAGGCCCAGCCACAGTCCCACGAACTCGGGCCGGCCCTCCAGGAGGATGGCCACCACGTCACCTGGAGTGAAGCCCAGCCGGCAGAAGAGGTTTGCCACGGCATTGGAGTAGGCGTCCAGCTGCGCAAAGGTCCAGCACACGCCACTGCCCGCGTCCACCAGCGCCAGGCGGTCAGGCTGCCTCTGTGCCACCACCTGGAAGATCCGTGGGATGGTGTGGCGGGCACGCTGGTGCCGCCGCAGCTCCAGGCGCACGCGGATCAGCACAGAGAGGCCGCTGGGAGGGGGAAGGGAGGAGACGGCGTCACTGGGTGCCCCGCCCGGCCTCCAGGAGACCTCTCCAAGCCTCAGCATCTCCATCTGGAGAAAGCAGAGGGAAAGGTCCCTGCACCTCCGAGGACGGCGAGGCTTCGATAAGGACCCTTTGGTTGCTGGGTCTCTCGGGGGACTGAGAGCGTGAGGAGGGCTGTTGACCAAGCAACGCGCAAGTACCACAGACCGTCCTTGTTTCTCTCTTCTGGGACGTCCAGAGCCTCCCGCAGTCCCCACGAGCACCTGCAGCCTGGACTCCTCATGCTCCACCCACCCGAGCCTGGGGTCCCCGTCATCTCCTCCAGGAAGCCTTCCGGGGCTCGGCCCCTGCCCTGCGCCCACTGCTCCCCCATCAAAGCCTACAGTCCCCCAAACGGGGCCAGGCTGGGGCAGACACCGGCTGGGCTCAGGGAATGCTCTCTTGTTCACCTTGGGAAACCTCCCCATCCTCCGTGCTCCCCCACCAAAGCCCCTGTGCGGAGCCACTCGGTCATGGGTCTGCTCCCCCCACCCCTGGGTCGTGAGCTCCCCGGGGAAGTCCCACCTGCACCGGCCGCATGCCCGGTACGTACTAGGTCCATACACAAAGAGGCCAGACTGTGTTCGTGTCTCCCAACCTGGAACTCGAGGTAGCGGCCAACACAGAGGCAGATTCTTCCACTCACCTCCCAAACGATGAGCACCTACTGGGTGCCAGGCCCACGATGGGCGAAACAGACCCAGCGGTAACCCAGACTTAACCCTTCTCCCCCTCCATCTTCCTTCCACTCCTTCTCCTTTTCCTACCCCTTGCTCACTCACTCCAGCCACAGGGCCCTTCTTGCTGTTTCCCTGAAGACACCACCTGGCATGCTCCCACCCCAGGGCCTTTGCATGCGCTATGCCCCCTGCCTGGACCACTCTTCTGCCAACATCCACGCGGCTCCTCCCCCACTTCCCTTAGGTCGTGGCTCAAATGACACCCGTCTGTTACTGACCACCCCCCTGTCTCCCCCTCTCTGGTCCCTGCTTTGTTGCACTTATCAACACAGCACTTACATTGTCAAAAGCCAGACCTACCATCTTGCCCCTGGGCTATCTCTTTCTGCTCTAGGTGACAGGAACTTCTGTCTGTTTTGCTCTAGGGCCTGGAGAGACAGCAGCGGAGACAGATCAAGGCCCCGCCCGCCCCACTCTCCTGGAGGGCAGTGAGCCTGCCACAAGCAACCCCACAGGACAGTCTTGGAGGGAGAGAGAGGCGTCTGGAGCTCCCGGGCCGGGCCTGAACCCCACAGCCCACGAGAGCGGCCAGCCTGAGCCTGGCAAGATCTTCGGTGAGAGGAGAGGCCGCCACACGTGAGCACGGTCTCAGGGCAAGGCCACACTGAGAAGAGGCGCAGGCATAGGGACAGCTGTGAGGAGGCTGCTCCCCAACCGGTTCCCTCCGGGTGCCCGCCCTGTTACTCTCAGGGTGACGACGGCCTCCATGTAGATGAACACCCCTAATCGGAGAGCCCTGCTCATCGAAGCCCCTGTTCCCGCCGCAGGTTAACATCGAGCAGTGTGGCTTCCACGCCCGCCTTGGCCAGGCCCAGCCACAGCCCCACGAACTCAGGCTGGCACTCCAGGAGGATGACCACCACGTCGCCAGGGGAGGTAACCAGGGGAAGCGACATCTGCATCTGAGCAGGAGCCTGGCACATAGTAGGTGCTCAGTAAACAGAGGTCGAAGGACTGCTTTCAAGCCCCTGACCCTGGAGCCCAGCATCCTGCCCCTCCCTGGCAGCCAGTGCAGAGGCCCGGATTTCTTCAGGGCCCCAGACCTGAGCACCTACTTTGCACAGGCGAAGCTGATCGGGATCAGGTGTGAGAAGTCAGATCGGTGGAGGAAGGGGACGGGGGCTGGGGTGGCCAGGGACACTGATGGCAAAGGGGCAGGAGTCATCTTGTGGGGAGATGGGAACGTTCTCCAGGACCTTTGCCCGTGCGGTTCCCACTGTGGAAACATTCTGCCCCAGAGCCCCCCACCCCCACCCCCATCAGGGTTCCTACACATCCTTTACCTCTCAGCTCCAACGTCCCCTGCCTGGAGAGGTCTCCCCAGCCCTGCCTAGCGTGGATCACTATATAGCTGTTTGCAAACACGCTTGCAAATTCTTTGACAGTCGTCCCTTCAAAAGGCAGGTCAGGTCCTATTTTCCCCACCCCGCAGGAGTGGGCAGACTCAGGGACTCGCCTCTAATGAAGAGAATGGGGCGATAGTCGTGCTGTGTGATTTCCGAGACCGGGGCTCAGAGACAGCACCTCTCCTCCAGGCACGCGGATGTTCTCGCACACTCTTTCTGGACACCGGACCTCGGAACCCAGTGCGGAGATGTAAGCAAAGGAAGCCAAGACCACATGGAGAGGCCGCGTATAGGGGTTCTAACAACACGTTTGAGTGAACACAGCTTTGGGTGATTCTGGCCCCGGATCCTGAATCTTCCACCTGAGGCTCCAGACACAGCAGAGCACATAAGATGGTGACATCTTGGCGACATCTGAATTCCTGACCCACAGAAGTCACAGGAAAGGATACTGATCATTGACCTAAGCCGCTAGGTTCTGGGGTAATTTGTTACACAGCCATGGAACTGACAGGTAACCGATACACTCCCAGGCCCCGTTTCACTCCTTCAGAGCCGGTCATCACACTCTAAACCCGTCATCTTCCTTTACCGATTTCCTGAGCTTTTTGTTAGTTTCTACGAGAGCGAGCACCCAGTTTGTCTGTCTGTTGTGTCCAGGGATACGGTTCCGGGATGAAGCACAGGACCTGGAACGTAAGGACGATGCTGGTATATCCTGTGGGCGGACTCAAATGCAGCCCTGCCTCTTCTGCCTGCGCACAACTGTACTTGTTTGAAGAGCATCCCCCCAAATTCGTGTCCACCGGAAACCTCAGACCGTGACCTTCTTTGGAAGTAGGGTGTTTGCAGATGTAATTGAGGGAAGTATGAGATGAGGTCATCCCGGCTCCCCAGTGGGACCTAAATCCAATGACAGGTGTCTTTTTTTTTAATGCCTAAAAACAATTTTTTTTTTATGTTTATTTGCTTTTTGAGAGAGGCAGAGACAGAGCGTGAGTGGGGGAGGGGCAGAGAGAGAGGGAGAGGGAGAAACAGGATCCCACGCAGGCTCTAGGCTCTGAGCTATCAGCACAGAGCCCGAGAACGTGACCTGAGCTGAAGCCGGACGCTCAACCGACTGAGCCACCCAGGCGCCCCCAGGTGTCTTTTTTAAAAATTTTTTTTTTTTTCAACGTTTATTTATTTTTGGGACAGAGAGAGACACAGCATGAACGGGGGAGGGGCAGAGAGAGAGGGAGACACAGAATCGGAAACAGGCTCCAGGCTCCGAGCCATCAGCCCAGAGCCCGACGCGGGGCTCGAACTCACGGACCGCGAGATCGTGACCTGGCTGAAGTCGGACGCTTAACCGACTGCGCCACCCAGGCGCCCCCCAGGTGTCTTTTTAAGAGAGAACACACAAACACAGGGGAGGAGACATGGGGAGACAGAGGCAGAGACTGGAGTGACCTGGTCACAAGTCGTGCGATACCCGGAGCCCTCAGAAGCGCAGCCCAGGGGGAGGAAAAAGCGGCCTGGAGTTCATGGCCTTAGTTCAAATCCTGTTCCACCGCCTACCAGTGGGGCCTGGGCGGACGCTGCCCTCTCTGCAGGCCTCAGTTTCCTTACTTGGAATATCAGGAGACTGAACCCAACAACCTCCAAGGTGTTCTCCATCCAGCTCAACAAAGTGCCAGTCCTGCCACTGCCTGATTTACAAGCAGGAAGTGGGGCCCAGAGCAGCGATTCTCAGCCTATTGGGTGTGAAGTGTGTTAAGTGCCCAACCAAGACGAAGGGCTGAACCAAAAGGGATCCATTGTTACTCTGCCCGGCGAGATCCCGCCTCTGGGCTTTGTAAGTATTCTTCCACCCGAGTGCTCTTCCTTTCCCCAGGTCATGGCAAGGGTGGCCCCTCTCATCTGCCCACTTGTGCAGGGTGCCCTAACCACCCTGGTTCAAGGAGTCCCTCGCTATCCCCACCTCGCCCCTACATGTTCGATCCTTCCGGTCACTGTCTGATGTTTTATCATTTCCTTCCCGGTTATTCTTTTCCCTCACTAGGCTGTGGGCTCCAGAGGACGGGAGAAGTGTCCGACACATTCACAGCAGGTCACAGTGAACATGGCGTCCCCCCAAGCCCAGATGGGGTGTGGCTCCCAGGAGGTCCTTGGGGATGGATGGAACAAATGACAGTGGCCAGAATCTGACCATCTCACCAGCCCGGCCTGGCCCCCACCAGCACACAGCGGGACCCGTGCCCTAGTCAGCTCTTCGTGGTTTCCTGGGCCTGCTCTGGGCCAGGCCCCACTCCCTGCATAATGGGGTGAACGGTGGTCCTCAAAAGAGAAGACCCAATTCCTGGCCCCCAGAACTTGTGAACGTGACCGCATGTGGAGAAAGGGTCTTTGCAGGGTCTTTGTGCAGGATACTCCTGGCTCTGTCTGCTGACCCCCTTGGCTCCTTGAACTCCAACGTTGCCCAGCCCACACACCTCCCTGCAACACATCAGCCCCTTTCCCACAATCCCTGCACCATGGGACACGGCAGTCCCACGTTCTCTTTCCTCTACCCAGAGAAGTTGTCACTGGCATGTGATGGCTGGAACCACAGCAGGCAGCATGAGGGTATGAGGGTACCCAGCTGGAGATGCCAAGCCTTTGCAGCAAGGATGGCACAGCATAAAGACCGAAGGAACCTGGGTCAATGACAGCATGCTGCACTGGGAACTGACCAACCTGAAGCCGTCTCACGTCAAAACTCCATGTTACATGTGGTTGTAACTGTTCTCTACTGCCAATGCCACGCCTAGTTGAGATTCACGCTACTCGCAGCCAAAAACCTCCTTCGAGAGTTTAGCTCCCTGGAGGGGCTGATCCA